CAGAGACGCGCACAGGGACACGGCACAAAGACACGCACAGACACACACACACAGACACAGAGACGCGCACAGGGACACGGCACAAAGACACGCACAGACACACACACACAGACACAGAGACGCGCACAGGGACACGGCACAAAGACACGCACAGACACACACACACAGACACAGAGACGCGCACAGGGACACGGCACAAAGACACGCACAGACACACACACACAGACACAGAGACGCGCACAGGGACACGGCACAAAGACACGCACAGACACACACACACAGACACAGAGACGCGCACAGGGACACGGCACAAAGACACGCACAGACACACACACACAGACACAGAGACGCGCACAGGGACACGGCACAAAGACACGCACAGACACACACACACAGACACAGAGACGCGCACAGGGACACGGCACAAAGACACGCACAGACACACACACACAGACACAGAGACGCGCACAGGGACACGGCACAAAGACACGCACAGACACACACACACAGACACAGAGACGCGCACAGGGACACGGCACAAAGACACGCACAGACACACACACACAGACACAGAGACGCGCACAGGGACACGGCACAAAGACACGCACAGACACACACACACAGACACAGAGACGCGCACAGGGACACGGCACAAAGACACGCACAGACACACACACACAGACACAGAGACGCGCACAGGGACACGGCACAAAGACACGCACAGACACACACACACAGACACAGAGACGCGCACAGGGACACGGCACAAAGACACGCACAGACACACACACACAGACACAGAGACGCGCACAGGGACACGGCACAAAGACACGCACAGACACACACACACACACAGACACAGAGACGCGCACAGGGACACGGCACAAAGACACGCACAGTGTGCACAAAGACACGCAGTGTGCAGCGCATTGCCCACAGACCAAAATCAGTTCGACCAGCCTGAGGTTTGGGCCCCGTTCAAGCGACTCGCGTTGGGTTTGGGAACGAGCCGGGAATGTGTTAGCCAAGGTCTGGCAAAGACGAGGCAAATTTGGCAAATCGCTTTGGGACAGCTTCGTTAGGGGGCGGGGAACCAATCACTTTACGACCTTTCCCAACGTTACGTGTTCTATCACATATGGCCTCATCGATGACTGAAGGACGTCGAAGAAGCAAAGCACCGTGAGCAAAATACCTCAAACGGCGAATAGTGCTTCTCACGAATAGGTATAATTAGTCACCATGGTCGATTTGATTGAAAGTTCGCTTGCAGTAGCCCTGATATAAGGTTGTCTCGAATTGCGGACCCAAGATAAGATATGGGTGGGTCCGTTTGGAAAGATAGCCCAAAAGTGTAACTGCAATAAAGCAACGCCCCGTTTCCAACTCTTCTCCCAACACATTCGACATTATTCGACCAATAGAGGATGCAACGTCCGTAAGGGCAGCGGTTTTTCAACGCAAGCCCTCGGTGTTAAAAAGGGCCTTGGCTTTCCGTTCCATCCATCCAAACCGGGCCCTCCAATGCTGCAATCCTCGCTACCCTAAGGAAAAGGAGGTGGGTGTCCGGGACTCTCCCTGACTCCCCCCCCAATTCCATTTTTCCCCAACAGCTGAAGGCTTTGGGGTCTCAGCCTGATAGGCTCGGGGTAGTCCGGGGCGGCCCTGAGGTAAGGTTCCACGAGGGTTCCACGAGCAGACACACGCACACACACACACACAGACACTTACACCCACACCCACGCACGCACCCACACACTCGAGATGCATATTACAACGGTGAAAGTCGATGGCACAATTCGCTTTGTTCAGCCGACCATGCGCCACTTTTGCACGCCGAGAGGCCCAAGACGGCGGGCATGAGTGCAAGCCCATTCTCGGCGCAGAGCATGGTGCGGCCGGACTGCGGCAGCCAGACAAACGACGTTTGGATGAAAGTAGATGGGTTTTGGGTGGATTTTACGGAGGTAGGTTTGAGGTTATATAGGTTTAGGTCTCACGAGGGGGGCTTGATTTGGATTAAGGGTGGTTAATTCTTTGGGCTGGGTTTGGCTTGCGTTCAGAGGATGAGGATCGGTTTGGGATGAGAATCGGTTTGGGGTTGTTGCCAGCGTGGTGGTGGTGTGGTGGCTGTTTACGGCTTGTTTTGTTGTGGGGTGGTCTACGCACGTTTTAGGGTGAGTTTGGGATTGGGTTGCCCAAACCTCAAGGACGTAAACACTGGGGCCAGCTTTCTGGACGTGCTTTGAAGAACGGCATGACAAGTGGTTGGTGCAGGGTCAAGCAGGGTCAGGTCAGTTCGGGCTTGTTCAGGGTTGGTCTAGTGAGTTTACGTGGTCGAGGAGGCCTAAATCATGAGTGGACGTACCTCCCGTGTAAATCGTGCATTTGATGCCCAAAACGTGCCCAATTCAGACGGATCTTTCAGATTCGTCATTGACTTGCTGGCGCAAAAATCCCAACCATTACCCTGTGTAGGGCCTGTAACTTCCATCAAGGGAAGCCAAATTGGGGTGGTTGACTCAAGACATTTGATCCTTTAAAAAACGTCCAAAGGATGAACTTTGGTTGCTGTTGACCCCTCTGACCCCTCTGCAAAAAGTTGTTCACTTGTGGGTTCAATGAAAAACAAAAAACGCATTTCAAGCAAAAAGTTCAAGTCTAAAGATCCGCTACCCATCAATCAAGGAACCCCTCGCAGCCCTGCCTGCCGGCGGGCCATTTCAACATAGAAGAGCCTAGGGCGAAGCACGACGCAGACACGTTGTCAGGGGCAAAGAGGGGACCCCCCCCCAAAAGGAACCCTATAAGCCCATTGGGACCCATAGTTAACCAAAGAACATCATTTTTTCGGCGTTTGCGCACACGAAACATGTACTTAGATTACCAACCTCTCCAACTCCGCGCGCCCACCAATACAGACCCGTGCCAAACGAGAACCGATGCCCAAGAAGTCAATCGATCACCGGGTGATTGGAGCTGACACAATGCTCCATGGCGCCAGATCCGTCTCGTCTTGCGCGTGTTGCGTCAGGGACGGGTTGTCTCAAAAATACACATTTGCGTGCTTCCTTTCAGAGGGCACCCTTTTCTCAGAAGAAAACAACCACCATGCCCAAATAACATCAAATATGTAAAAGCCTACTGTATATATTTGTATATATGTATGCTGTATGCACCCCAAGGTTCTCAAATACTTTGGCCCCAAAACCGGCGCCGGATGCTCGTCTCCGTGTCTGTGCCGTCCGGTCGCTCGAGGGCCGGGCGGGGGCAACATGAGCACCAGGGGCGAAGCACCGAATGCTCCGAGGAAACGAAGAGCGTGGCCCAGATCCTTCGGTTGGATCCCCACTTGGCCGCTGCTTGGCCGCTGCTTGGCCTCTGCTTGGCCTCTGTCTGGCCTCTGCTTGCACCAAGTTTGGCATGCCCCTCACCTTTTGGTTGGCCCCTTTGGCTGGTTCAGGCCCATTTTGGCAAAGGTCCTTTGATTCAACTGCGAACACGGGAAACCCTTCCCATTTTGAGCAACTGAGTCAAAAATCAACACCTGTTACCAAAATGGTGAACCCAATGTCATACAACGAGTTACCAAGGCTGCACCCATTTCTGGCGGGGACTATTTCTTGCTAATCTTCGTCAATCCTCGGGTTTTGAGTAAGTGGCTCGACCCAATTTGTTTCTTCGCCGCAGCCCTCCATTTGAATCCCACTGGCACGTCCTGCAGCGCCCAGGTCAGCACTCCGCAGCACATGAGCACCAGCAACGCCAGGCGCTCACTGTGACCGGCGCCTGGGGCTTTTCTCGTTCTGCAAATTCCAAACCAATTGGCATTTCACAGGTGAACTCGCTATAATCTAGTTGGACATATGGCTTTCAGATTTGCGCAGTTCAAGGCTTAATTGGGAATTCTAGTGGTGTCGGAGGTATCACAAAGTAACACCCAAGCTGGCTATCCCTGGGAAGAAGGGCAACCTGCTCTTTTCTGAATAGTTATTCTGGAGGAGACCCCAAGAGGTCCCCTAGCCAAGGGGAACCGGGAAACTCCGAAAAGTGTCCTGTCAGGTGATGTCTCACTACACTAAGGATAGGATATCACCTGACTTTCGGGGGGTTTCTGGTTTGGACATTTTTTCCTTTTCAAGGGACCAAGTCCCTGTCAGGTTCGGGCGGCCGTCAAAAACGAAACACCCATACCCACATACAAGTGCAAGCAAGCAAGCAAGCAAGCAAGCAGGCAGCAGGCAGACAGGCCGGCAGTCAAGGAAGCAAACACTACAAAGACACACATAAACACAAAATAGAACGGACACACAGACACACACAAACAGTCACACGCACAAACACGACCACAAACATAGACACAAACAAACACACAAACACACGAACACATACACACACACACAAACACAAACACAAACACAAACACAAACACAATCACAATCACACTCAAACACTCACACACACACACAAACGCAAACACACAAACACAGACACACCACAAACACACAAACACACACAAACACAGAAACCCACGCACAATAAAGACACACGAAGACGCAGAAAGACACGCAAAGACACACACAAAGACACACACAAAGACATACACACACACAAACAAACACACGCACATACAAACCACACACACCACAACACCACACAAGAGCATAACACCACCACCAAACCACGCAACGCAACGCAACACAACACAACCCAAAACAGACACACACACACACACACACACACACACACACACACACACACACACACACACACACACACACACACACACACACACACACACACACACACACACACACACACACACACACACACACACACACACACACACACACACACACACACACACACACACACACACACACACACACACACACACACACACACACACACACACACACACACACACACACACACACACACACACACACACACACACAGACACACACACACCCACACCCACACCCACACGCACACGCACCCGCGCACGCGCACGCGCACCAGCGCGCGCAAGCACGCACGCACGCACGCACACACTCACGCACTCACGCACGCACGCAGGCACGCACGCACGCACTCGCCTGTGCACATGCATATGTACCTGTACTAGCTCCATACAAAGCAAAAGAAGGTGTATGTGTATATACAATGTGATCAGCTATGGACCGGATGCCCCTCTCTGTTGCTGTTGCTGTTGCTGTTGCTGTTGCTGTTGCTGTTGCTGTTGCTGTTGCTGCTGCTGCTGCTGCTGCTGTTGCTGTTGCTCCTGTCAGCTTGGAGCCAGGACTGAAGGACTGTGGCTTGTCCGATGGCTTGCTAGCTGGTTGGCAGTTCTGCGAATGCGAAACACGTTTTGATCCCATGTTTGCTGCCACCATGTTAATGCCTTCCCATGGGAAGCCCCTTGAATGACAAGTCAAGTGATGACTTTGACCCTGGGGACTGGACCCAGGCATGCTGCCCAGATATGCCAGCCGTTTCGGTCTGCTACGAAGACAAACCAAAAGCAGAGAAGCAGTCGAGACCAGAAACCACTCGAAAGGAATCCAATCCAAAGAAGGTTCCAATCCTCCCCCTCAATACCACTCACGGCATATGCTAACCATGATGCACCAATCGCTCTATTTTTCCCTTCGCTCGGAGATCGGCTTTTCAAATGATCCCCGCCTGAACCCCTGCGACTGGCAAAGATCTCCTGGATACACACCACGCCTCGGTCTCAAGAGGCAACAGGATGGCCGTATCGACAATCCGAAGGCAGGTCTCAATCCAAGGAAAGGCTGGGGTAGCTCTTGGGTATCAACACATCCCCCAGTTCAGGATCGGAGTTGTTGCGCCCGTCCGCAAAACTCTCAATACAAAAGCTTGGCTTTTGGCCCGGTTCTCTTCAACCCAATGCGGACCCAGGATTGCAACCCTCAGTTGATCACCAGTCTTGTGAATTGACAACATCCGCGCAGGACCGTTCATAGGGATGCATCCATCCCAACTGGTGCCATCCATTGCGTTTATCCAGGGTTGATTGATCAGGGGCAGCAAGAAGGATATTTCGTCAAGACCTGGTTGTCATGGAATTTCTGAGCATCCTGAGTCATGTCTCTAGCTTGCCGGTTGCAAGATGCTGGGCCCCAGCTTCATCCATATGTGTCAGCGCCAAGTCTAAGTGATGTCATCCCTAGCGTGTTACTGAGTCCCAGCCAAACACGCGAATGCACTTTTTGCAACTTCGGCTGAGAACTAAGGATAAACTGGACCTTGAGCAAGTCTGAAGACATGTATTCAACAATGTGCCGTTTTTTGGTACCTGTCCTGACGGACAATCGGTGGGTCCGGCTTTCACAGGGACAAATCACTAACTTGACAAACTGGAAAGAGGACTGCCCAGGAAAGGTGACGTCAAGAGCTCGCCTTACCCCCAAATTGTTGAGCGCGCTGTAACTTGCCCAAACTAACTTGTCGCTGACCCTGCAGACCCCCATAAAGACCCCCCCCCCAGGTTCAAAGGCTTGAAATGAAGGTAACATAACCGGGCCCAAAGTTTGGGTAAGTTCAGATTCATGCTCATATAAAACCAGTTTGGAGGCCACAAAAAATCACTGACCAAGCACCCACGACGACGCCCGCTTCAGTGACTAACCGCTTCGTAAGCTTATGGGCATGAATCGTAAATGACGCTTGGGTGGACATCATTCAGGGAATTTATCCACCAAACCATGAAAGCGATCCCACCTTACAACCCTCGGTATGGTAGCCAAAAAGCCTTGCTTTTTGCAGCCCCTACTAAGAAATGACCAGAACCAACAAAAACTCGACAACCTAAAACCATGCCAACAAAAATATACAGACAGATGTAATATATATATATGTATATATATATATAATATGAATATACACACTCTTCAGGGGGCGTTCTCTAAGTTCATAGGACGCCCTGGGGCCGTGGCAAGGCTTGGACGCCAGCGCGGCACCTGCTGCCAGCCTCGGGGCCAAGTGGTTCCGAACTCCGGAGCGGTGACGGTTCGCACCAAAAAAGGTCGCACAAGTTTCAATACCCGCTTTTTTCGGGGTATTTTTGGGGAAAAACCTGGTGTTCCATGGTAAATACCTCCTTTTTTAGCAGAGGGTTGACAAGGACACAAAAACTCTAGGGGTCCCTTCCTCTTTCTTTCCGGGGAGCCTTCTTTCTAGAAAACCGCCGCAACCCCAGGGCAAACGGATCCGGTTTTTGGAAAGAACGATGGTTGAAAAGAATGGACAAGGAATCAACCCCTAGAAGGTTGGATGGCCCAACACCGGGGTCAAGAAAACCGGGGTGTCAATGGACATCTTTGGGCTTGACCAAAAAAGTGGAGAGCTCTTTATCAAAGGATGGTTCCCAGGGGCAACCTCCTGACTAACATGGCACCGGGGGTTTCGGGAACTTCCATGACTTGGGTCCACCTCTAAGACACATACGGTTGCTTGGGGTATGTACCCTGGCCCTTGAACTCATCCATTTACCACATAACTATGTCCACTGGTGGTGTAAGAAGGACCTTGGCTGTCCTATGAAACTTGGGCTCCTCTCTGTAGGCCCATCTATTTTCGCCGGGGATCGCGAAACCCGCTCTGAGATGGTCAAGCTGCTGATACAAATCCCAGGGTCTGTAGCCCAATTCCATTTCCCTGCGCAAGGGAACCACCCTTTGAACGCCAAAGGAAAATGTCAGCTTGTATACTGGCAACTGGGTTCTACTGAGCAGGCTACAAGCATGTAGAACCCTGGTTAACAGGGAGGGTTTCAGGTATTCTACCAACTACCTTGGACATACGAGGAAGCCTCATTCTTCAAATGGCAACTGGAATTCGGTGTCTTGTCTTTTGGCACCCTGATGTGCAATGATTCCAGATGGAACAATTTCGGGGCTTCGCAAGGTCAAGCTGGTTGTTGGGCAAACAACCATATCAACTGACAAGTCTCTCGGGATTTGCCAAAATCAGCAGAATCCCTCATGGTTGGTCTCAATTGGTTCCCATGTTGAATCCATCTCAAGAGCATCTGGTTTTCGTAGCCTGCACCTTCTCATGTGGAAGCTGGGCTTCTGAAGGGAGCGCTCCAATTCACTGCTTCGTTTCACCATCCGCTCCTTCAAACGGCAAGCATCTTTTTGTCCTGAGACCTGAGGAAAGGTTCTATTGATATGGGAGTCTCCTTTGTACCATGCTTATGTGGCCTAAAAGGGAACGGAAAAGGAAAACCACCGTTTTGGGGGGTCCAAAAAACACCACACACCCAGACCCGAGCGATCAAGTGCCACTCGTCTCAGCCCCCCGGCGGGACAAGGTAGGCCTGTGCCAGCGTTTGTCATGCCGGGGTTGTGCGATTCAATCGTGTCTAAACCACAATTGTTTAGAACGTTTAGACAGCCAGCTTGCTTTTTCCCTAAGGCAACCAAAGCCTGGCTGTTGGAACAACATTGGCCCCAGCCTACTGCCCAGCCAACTAAGCTTGCATCTCATGCAGTTAGATAACCCATTGCTTGAGAGGCTCAACAAAGAGGATTGATTGAATCAACGGCCGAAATTGTGCGAATTCCTCCACAGACCAGTTTGGGGATCCTACGGTCCACTCTCAAGCACTGAAATATTGCATGCAACTTCCATGGTTGTCTCTTTAGTAAAATAGATGGCCCTGGCAAAATGGAAATAACAAGTAAACCAGTGCCATCTATTTCTAGTGAAACTGACCTAAAAAGGACACCTATGGCAACTTCAGTTTGCTGCAAAGCCACTACTGCTGCACCTGCACACACTTCCATAGACCACAGAACACCCTTCCAAAGATCATGAGGCTGGGGAAGGGAGGAAAGGCAGGATAAGAAGTCTTAAGTTAAGCTTCAAGAAAATCCAACGTGCAGAGCCAATGTCCAGCCTGTGCTTAATGGCCATACCATTCATATCAGACCAACTCGTGCGTAATCAAACCTTGCTCGAGTTTGGCAAAAAGGCCTCACTAAGCTAAGCACTAGCTCCAAAACAGAGGACAGTAAGTCTATATGAAGACCTCGAGTGGCGCTCAGCAACTCCTCGGCATCCTTCGGCTATCCCATGTTTGAGCGCAATATGTGCTCCCCTCAGCAACACCTCGGCATCCTTCGGCTATCCCATGTTTGAGCGCAATATGTGTTCCCCTTCCCTGCCATTGAAGCTGACTGGGGCAGGGAAAACCACGCTGAGATAGTGGACCGGCCTTACTCTGGGTCAAATCACTAGGCCCCCAAGAGGACATGGGGAAATTTTGAATGTTCTGTCTCTGCTTCTCATAGTTACAACTTGGTATGCTAAGAATCATTTTGCTCATTGCTCAACCAGTTTCGTCATCAATCATTTACACCAGCAGAATAGAAGCATTGATCATGATCAGAGCTAGGCCCAGTCATATATGTGTTTTATTGTTTGCTTCCTAAGTCTACCCCGGGATTCCGGCTAGGTCCTCCAGTAGAGAGGTTAAATAAGGGTACATTTTTTCTGTAGTCTGCTTTTAGTAGAAAACCTCCCCCCCAAAAAGTTGGTCAAAGGGCCCTACTGGGGGACCTAGCTGGCATCCTCATCATTTTGACAGGCCGGCGAAAGCACTTCCGCCCTGGGCCACCGCGCCAGCTGCACAACTTGCAGCCACGTCTTGGACGGCACCGCCGCCCAGCTGTCGGGGCGTTGGCCGAGCGTTTGGTGTCAAAAGAATCGCTGGCTCTCAACAAGGATTTTTTGCGATGGAATGAACCGAGGAAAACCATCCACTCCCATTGGTAGAAGAGATTTGGAGAATTCGGCGGGCCATTTCATAGGTCCATTTGCTGGTTTGGTTGGTGGTCCATATGGGGCTTCGGTGGCATTGGTTCCCACCTGGAAACTTGATAGGCAGGGAATGAGCGATGGAATGACGCCAAGAGTTAAACCGTCCTTTCCCGGTTTGGCTCCTTTTATTCGGCAATCCCAAACCGGTTCATTCCGGAAGGTCATCACACACCCTGACTTTCGGCTGGTGGCTAGTGAGGGGCCACGGAGGATGAACAAGTAAGCTATGGCCCCTATGGTTCTGAGTCAGTGGAGTCACTGTGACTGCGCGCCCGTTGCCCCACCTCAGCAAAACGTTGCTGTGCACGTTTTCGCCGAAATGCAAATACCCGCCCTGGGCGGAGCAGGGCATGGGGCCGATGCGCACATCTCACAGAAAACTTGTCAGTGGCAAGGAAGGCACGCCCCGTTTCGTCTGGATTCCTCTTATCTGTCAAGCGCTTCAACATCCACCGTTCTCCCATGTTAGATTCATGTCATAGGTTTGGCGAGCTCCTTGTGGCGGCTCAAATTGTCGTGGGCCAAACATTGCGCCTCCTCGTGTCTAAACATCAGAATCCCGAACATTTCGATCCATGCCGTTGGACCTCGACATGCAACCATGGAAGTCCTTTTAGGTCAGCTTCCTTGAAGATGGCACAGGTTCCAAAACGACACAGGGGTGTACTTATTTAGGTGACCAGCCCAAATGCTGGGTTTCCTTTTAGTTTCCCTTTTGCAACCACCAAAAAATGTTACCCTCAAAAACAATCACACCCACACACCTGTGCATGCAAACATAACCCTTGAGCGGGTGAGTTTTACAATCTGAATCAGGAAAGGCCCAGTTGATGGCTGGCAAGAGGTCAAGCCCATATTGCTCAAAGGCATGCATGTCTCGAGAGGCTTGGAAGATTCGTGTTGGGTTCCCTTAAAGGACCTTTTCAAAAGCGGGCGGCATTGCTTTTAGCCTGTCTCACGGGAAAAAAACAACGGTGGCTCCATGTCATAAGAACACTGCAGCGATAATTGAGTGGTTCTAACCACGTCTCCACGGCAGCGCATAGGTCCTTTGTGTGAAATAGATGGGGCTTCCCTGGCAAATGGCGCAAGTCCCATCTATTTCTCAACAAGCCAGTCTAAAAAGGACACCTGCAGTTTTCGAGCTCCAAAACCTCAAGACCTCCCCCAAAAAACAACAAAAACACCGGCGGAATCGCTCGGATGGGCAGAAAACCCCATGCTCCTTGAAGTAAGGAACGGCTGGTTCCCTGCCGGTTTCAGGGGCGTTCGCTGAATTGAGCCAGCGACAGACCCCAATAGCCATAGCAACTCTTCGGCGCTGGCGGACCTTGTTCCAAGGCACAATATGGGTCGCCGCAAAAGCACAACTGTGACACCACGGACACTACCAAAACGCCACCGCCAAACCACCAGACAGGACACCAGCGAAAACACATTCAGGACACTACAGGGACAGCACCAAAACACAACCAGAAGCACAACCATCACACCACGCAAACACTTCCGGATCACCACCAGCAAACCACTGGAGTGTGTTCCAGAACACAATCAAAAACTCAACCGGGACGCCACCAAAACACTGGACAATTGCTGGGACATCACCAGCACACCAGCGAAACACGACTGAAACCTCACCGTGACACCAGCGGGACGCAACCAAATCACCATTGGAAACCCACCACACCATGAAATTAGAACCGGACCACCACCAGGACACTACCAACACACAACTGGAACACAACCGACGCCGGGACCTCGCCAAGGTGCACTGGTTGTACGGAGGTGTTCTCCTCAGGTACATGAAAAGGACTTTTCAACCTGCGGCCCAATTCCTGGTGGTTCAAAATTGACCCATACCCATACCTAGATCTTCAAATCGGCTGAACTCAAAAAAGCGCTCTTTTGACCATGTCGGCATTATTGTGTTGCATGTCGGCTTAGAATTCGGCGGGATTTGGCGGAAAATCGGCTGAGTTGGGCGGTCACAACTTCTGTATATGGTGCTTATGTTTGGCCTTTTGGCATTTCGGCGTTCTTTGTTGCGCGTCGACGTTTTGTTTTTGAAGTCGGTGTTCTGCGCGGTTCCGTAAACATTGGAAATACCCCGCGTCTTTGCACTCCTTGCAAGTGTCCGTCGTGTTGGTGTCCTTGCACAGTTCCCAATAGGGAGCCTTAGAGAAATTCCGCTTGGCCACCCGCCTTGGACCACCCTGGGACCACCCCCCTTGGACCACCCCTTGGACCGCCCCCCTTGGACCACCTTGCAACACCCACCACTTGGACCGCCCCCCTTAGGGACCCCATACTTCTTCCCCCCCCAAAAAAAGGAACTTGGGCCCGCAGCCAGCGCCAAGGCGCTGCTCAAGCCCGCCGCCTCAGATTCGGCATGCGAGGCTTCGGAGGCTTCGGAGGCTTCGGAGGCTTCGGAGGCTTCGGAGGCTTCGGAGGCTTCGGAGGCTTCGGAGGCTTCGGAGGCTTCGGAGGCTTCGGAGGCTGCAAGGATGGGACATGGGGAAACCTTGGACAGACCAACAAGACACCAGGCTTTTTTGTTTTTTGTTTTGTGCTGCTTTCCTTTATGTATAAATAAATATATATATATATATAGTATGTTGTTTATATTTGAGCAGAGGGTCGGAGAGGGTTCAAGGAAAACAAGGAAAACTAGGAAAGCAACCATAGAACTGCCCAACATGAACGAAACATTGATACTGATACATAGTGGCAGTGCCCTGCTTGATTGGAAACCCCTGTTTGTTGCCTTTGGGAAACCAAACGGACACCTACCTTTTCTTTTTTTCTCGGTGGGCGTGAAACTTTGTTCGAACTCAAAAAACTCGAAAGCAAGCAACACCAGCAACGAACAAGCCTGGTGGCACCTCCCGAGTTAGTCTCAAGCATAGGTGGCCTTTTGGAAAAAAAACAAAAATAATGGGGATCCCGGGTAAATGGATTACCCATTCAAACCAGTGGAACCCATCGATGTTTCATCAATCTAACCCTATGGCAAGATGTATGGTCTCAAGGCTTGGGAAAGAATTCTGGCCCTTGCCGGAGGCGACTGGTTCAAACGGGAGCTCAGGAACCAATCAATGCAAGCGGGATCCCCAATCCATCTGAATCACTGAAACACCATTCGCTTGTCGGTCAAATTCAATCTTTTTCAGGGGGTGTGTTGGGATTCTTCAAAGGCGGGGGTGACTGATAATTTTGGATGCTTTCAACACCGGTGCAGTCAGTAGCTTCCTCAAGAAATTGCGGAAATCATGGTCAACAACTGTCATCGCAGTTCTTGACCATCTACATCCAAGTAGCCAAATGTTTTGACTGGCAAACTGAGACAGGTTTCGGTTCCCGAATGTCAGGAAAGAGCTTTGTGTGCGGATTCCATATTTTAGAGCAGCCTCCTCATTCTCTCGAGGCCAACTCGTTGGATATCCGGGGAACATCATCTCCATTTGCGCATAAGTCCCCTGGAAAAAAAAGTAACATCCAGTAAAGTGATAAATTCCCTGTACAACCAACGGAGGGAGGAGAATAAACACATACTCATTTCAGCAAATTGATGTCATGCAGAACAATACGTGTGATACTGCTAACTTTGCCTTCAAATCTTTCGGTAGGCAGGTGCCGAAAGCCCACCAAATGGCTTCCAAGTTGCATGTTTTGCAGACGTTTCTGCCGGTGTGAGTCTGGGAGTTGGGTGCTTTCCGGCAGCTCAGGAGTTACATTCCCCATTCTTTGCACCCTTCTGAGAAGCCACTCGCATTCCCAGGGGTTTTGAGAATTGTCTAAATGGATGTACCCATGGCACATGTAGCCAGCAAACTGAAAGCGCATGCCAAAAAGGCATGCAAACTTGCTTTCGCAGGCCAAGCGAGGCCCGCACTATCGCAAAGGCGTTGCCACTATTGGCCTCAGTGACGCACCGAAATCCCGGCGCAAGAGCTTCAGTTCGTCTCTTTTGTGCAGGAGTCAAGAAGTGAGTTGCCATGCCCTTCCCAAACTAACCATTGTCTAATAACATGTTGACCGAACCGCACTTGTGCGATAAATAGCTTCTGCTCGCATGTCATTTCTGCTATTTGCTGCTCGTGCAACAGGAGAAGTCGTGTAAGGCGGGCTTGGGAAGCACATGCCCTCAGGATAAGGACTTCGAGTTTCAGCAAGAAACTCCAACCAGCCACATGAAACCACAGTACCAGTCTCCATGACCCGAATCAAGCCTGGGCTCACCAAAAAGAAAAGGGGTGGCCCGGTGGCCCCACTCTTGATTCGGTTGTGGAAACTCCAGCCCGTCTGTCACTGTACACCAGGGCTCTTGCACCCTGCACGGTTTGTCTGGACTTCTCCCTTGGACTCCTGCTGGGCCTCTCCCTCCAAGTTCCTCGCGGGTAACGAGGCAAGGCCCGGTTTTCGTGCGAAATTACCCGCATTCTCATGCGTCTCCTTTTGGTAAAATAGATGGCCCTGGTACGGAAACCAGAGGAACCCATCCATTTCGAATTAAACTAAACGAGAAAGGACACCTATGCTCTTTCCCACGACGGAACTGCACAGCTTTATTTTCAGGTACCATCCTTTTGGAGAAAAGGCCTGAAGCGTCCACTTCCAAATTGTCGTGAATAGACACAGCAGCACGCTTCCTCTCACAAACATAGCACAGAAGAGGAACAATTATCTTCCAGGTACCCTACCACAGGTGCGATGCTTGTCGGAGGCGTAATGCAAAATGTACGAGGACAAGCTTGAATTTTCCGTGCTTCGCTCTCCGGCCAAAGGGCGGCCCCCGTCAGGATGATAAAGACAAACTCGGTGCTAGTGTCTGCTGGGCGGGGATGATGTAGAGTAGGTGAGCAGTGCCCATCTTGGTATCATGGCAACATCAGGTTCTTTTCTCCCTCGCCGATTTTCGCCGAGCTCAGCCGACTTGCCTAAACCAAGCACCTCCAAAGAAGGCTGGTTTCCTTGCTGGCCCTTTTAAGACCACAACAACAAGTGTGGTGCCAAACCAACGTCGTCTGCCAGCATTGGACACAGGAGTACTGCCCTTGTTACTATAATGGCTTGCTTGGAAGCACTGTTCTGTCCACCAATCACCTATCTTCAAGCATATTGAAACCAGAAAGAACACTAATGCCCCCAAGGTGGGCTTCCCACTCGTCTTCCCAAAATGAGCCCCCCAAAAGGGTACTGAGCTAAAAACTCCAATTGTGTGTCTGTTTCCCAGGCGTTTCTATTGTTTCGGCATTGCTTCAAAATCCCTGCCAGGGTTAAACGGCAACCAGAAGGGCAACCACGCAAACCGGAAACGTCGACATGATTTTGAGCCAAGGGGAGCCACAACCCAAGGGGCCATTCACGAGCAAGCGCCATGATTTCCCCTTTCCCTTGCTAATTACTGTGAATGGTTGCGAAACCCATTTCGCACCACCTAAGAAAATATGGGACACCATTGTTGGTTGGTTTTTCCTGTGGAGTCATCATTCCAGGGTTTCTTAGGTTCCCCTGCAAATACCAACAAACAATGGTCCCCCAGGGTGTCTTCGGTGGTGCGACATGGATTTCTCAACCAGTATGGCTCTGAATCAGCTGGCCTCCGCATCGTCAGAGGCGGCTGTCGCCTGCAACCGCCAAGTCTCGGGTGGACGAGCCCGGCGGATCCCATTTTCACTTGCCCAGAGGACCTGGAAATGCAAGGTGATCACCTTTTGGAACCTTGACTATGGACCAAATCAGGGAAACCCAAAGGTTTAAAAGTTCGATTCGCTTTGGGCAGGTGAGAATTACCCCGGTGCTTCATGACCATGGGGGCAAACTCGCATGCCTGTATTGCAACGCGGTGTTGACGCCCAAAGGGGTGCTGAGAAAGAAGCTCAGGGGCATGTGCTGTAAGCGCTGAAGCCTTGATTGGGCCTTTGCCCCTTCTGCAGCTCAAACAAAAAACATATCGTGGGATTGTTTTGTCCCATGTGCTGAAAGTCGAATCCTTTTTTGGTGGTTTCCCTTTAATGGTCACCCCACGTATGGAGCTTTTGATCACCCCCTTTGAGTTGATCCAAATGGGAAGATACTTCATCGTATTCATCCGTGAGATACCAAAGGCCCACATCTTGGAGTTGATACCTCTTTCACCTTGGCGAAAAAACGGAGACCGTTTAGGACCCTTGATATATACCCACACTGAACACCTCAGTCCCAGACCTGTAGGGCTCTCGGTTCCTTTTCTTGGTTTCGCTTCTAAATCAGTTCTGGGGTCTCCTCCAAAAGTGTTTTCTGTTGTTTCGGGTAGACTATATGTTGAAACATGATCTGGAAATATTACTTTTGGTGTGGGTAGGGTTAGGCCAAGAATTGTCCTAGAAAACAGGTTGCCCATTTTTCTTCCCAGGGATAGCCACCTTTACTTTCTGAGACCTCCGACACCAATGGAATTCCCAATTAACAATGGTAACGCGCAAATCTGGAAGCCATATGTCTGACTATTTTATGGCGAGCTCACTTGAAGCTCACCATGAAGGGAGTCTTTTTTGAACTCATGGTTTCAGAGACATTCCACCCGTATAGGTTGGGTTTTCTCAGCATTTCAATCAGCGGACCATGGCAGGCAAACTGGATGTTTACCTGAATGCACCTGGTTTGCCGTGCTTGGCAGTAAGACCATGTTAGTGGTAAACGGAGTTTGGACTTGTTGGGCCAATGATCTCAAGGAAGCACGCACCATTGACACCTGGCACCTGTTCGCCTTGGCACCTGACACTCTGGGCTTCGCCCCATCCAGTCCACGCCTCGAAGCCACTTTGGGCCGAGAATTGGGCCAGCATCACCGCAAAGCAATTCAGCAGGCCTCGGTCATGGGACTGGACCTTGGTGTTTCCGCCATAACCTGCAACATAGTTCTGGGGCATCCATCGACCAAATCTTCTATTCTAGGCCCATGGAGGTTTGGGACGAAATCCTCGAACGCTCCAAAGGGGGTTCCCGTGAATAGAAGTTGGCCCTAAAACCCGTTCCACAACCATGAAGCGCAACCAAGAAAGAAAATGCCAGTCCACAAACACGGCTTCCTCGCGAAATATGCTGGAGGCACGCTGACCCAACCTTCAAAGCACGAACGGGCACAACTTGGCAACCAGAACCTGCCTCGAAAGGGGACCAACGGGCGTAAACAAAAGATGTTCAATCATGTTTAGACAGGGGTAGCCTTGCGGAAATGCTTGTTCCGAAGAAGTGCACCATCATCAAATTCCAAGCGTGCCGCCTCATTGAACCTGGAGCACATCTTGCGTGAACAAAACACAGAAAGTAAGTCAAAACCTACACGCTTCCTACTAGTGCACACCTTTCCGCTGTGCTCATGCGGCGTAAGTTCCGCTGTCTCATGGCCCTAGCGTGAGCCCTGAGTCCAATCTATCGCTAGAGCCAGCGCCAAACTCTGCCAGACAAAAACCAGTTCCAGAACGACATGAGTATTCCCAGAGAAAAGGCGGGCAGGACACAATGATTTTTGACAGCCCCTTGATCCCCCAAAGCTGTGCGCTTAAGCAGCAATTCATAAGTAAACCTTTATGAGTCCCTCAAATTCCCTCGGCGTGTCGCCTCAAAACAAACGGTCAAACTCATAATTGCACGACAAAACAATGCTGCGCTTCTGAAATAATCTATGACAAAAGTCATTGCTTCACGGGTGCCCAACCCCACACTGAGGATAAGGTCAAGCCCCAATCTCAATCATGTTGAGTCTGACTTGACCCGTCGCGCGCCTCGAAGCGACTTGGGCCACAAGCTCACGGCAGCTAAAGCGGGTACCTATCAAGAACGTCTTGCTCGGGACAGCTCTGGACGGTTTGGACATCTGAGTGCAAGCTATGAACTCATTCCCTGCATCCTTTTGGGGAAATCAAACAAGTAGCCATTGAGCACCCTTTCGAGCACGCAAAGAGTTAACCATGATCAGGCTGCCCAGTTCACAAGCAACTGCCAAAAGTCCTGACATGAAGCTGGTAGTGGCAAAGGCATACAGTTGGGTGAACTTTGATGTCACCTTTCCTTCATGTTGGTTTCGTCATCCAGTTTTTCCCTTGAAACAAATGCGCCTCCAGTTGTGCGGTCGCATGCACCTTCCTGAAAGGACTGGTCAAATACAACCCAGACATCTTTGCTGGCTTTGGGTGGGAAAGAGCGCGTCTCGCAAAAAGAGCCCAGCCCGTTTGGCTTTCCTTTGGGACAATTAAACAATACAGACTACTTGGCACCAAGCTAATTACACTGATCTTCCCCAGAAAAAAAAAACCAAAAAAAACAAAAAAAAACAAAAAAAAAACATCAGACCAGCAAAAACACAAACAACAAAAGGAGAGGCAGGTCCTTTGCAACAGATGATCCGGTTTCCATTGTCTCAAAGTCCATCGATCCGCAATGATCCGCACCTCTGTAAGGCCAGGTACCTCGGAGCCGATGCCGGGCTCGAAGGAAACTGCGCGGATGTCACCTTTACAACCACAACAAGCAGGGGGTAGGACCACCAAAACCATCATGCCCTCGCAGGGGAAATGAAACATTCGTAAAATTGTTCAGGCAATGTCATGACCATGTGTCAACCAACCGTCCCACTTGCAACCTTGGAAACATACTGCTAGGACCAAAACATTGATTGGTGTTCTTCTTATTTATATTTAAACAATCCGAGACTTTGCCCACTGCACATCTCCAGGCTAATATGTTATGGGAGCTGGAAATGCTCGGCCATGATTAAGTAGGTTATAACATACTTGCTCGGGTCAAGTAGGTTGTAACTTGCCCATGCTCAGATCCCGAGAATTGAATGGGGAATTGATTTCCTAGCAACATCTTGCAAAGGTTGCAAGTGCATGGTGCAAGGACTCAATGGGCAAGTGCACTGGATGGAGTGCTTGGCGGTGCATTGAGCCCTCTCTGAAAGTCAAACTTGTGGGAGATGCCATAAAACCGCTAAACTCCAAGTGGAAGGGCAGCTCCTGGGCACCCTGGTTTTTTGGTTGGATGTTTGGCTTGGCATCGCAAGAGGTTGCCACAAGCAGAGCGCCTCGGCAACCCATGTCCCATTTCGCCTTTGCTGCCGGGCTGCAATAGCAGAGACCGCGATCAGCGATGTTGTGAGGGTGGCCGCCTCAGAGACGAATGATGCGGCAATGCGGCATTCCCCGAGGTCAACATAAAACCAAAAACGAGGCCCCTTTGAAGAGGACCGTCTTCTGTTGTCTGGGTAGGTCAACCCCAAGAGGACAGTCTTCTGTTCGTCTGGGGAGCAATCTCTTCCTCGAAAAGGCGTCCAGCAGGCCAACCCACCCGCGCACGACCGCACGCACACACCCACGCACGCACACGGTCCCAGATGGAGGAAAGCATAATTTTCTTTTTTGTCCAATGCAAGTCACAGCAGTGAAATGAGAACATCAGTGAGTTGTCTGGTTTTTACTTGCGGGTGCTCAGTAGGGAATGAGCTCCCGGGTTTTGGGAATGAATCCTATTTTGGATTCCCGAATAAAGGAAACCAAATCGAACGTGGATGGCTTAACTCACGGGGTCAGACTCCATTTATCTCATTCCCTGCATCTCTGGAATTGCAAGTATATTTTTCGCGATCGACCCAATGGGCTAAACAACTCTTCACGTACCTTTAGCACCTGGCTCTCTGCTCCGAACCCTAATTAGGATTCATCAACACTCCATGGGAGTGTGTGCTTTGAGGGCACAAATTTTGAGGTTGGAGACCAACAGGAAACAGTACAATTTTGGATGTCCTCCCCCATTTTGACGCGAGCACATGCAAGGTAAGAAATGACCACGGCTCAGGGCATTTCCCTTGGGCTCTCCTCAAAAGGAACGCCCTTTCTCTGGGAGCGCCCAGCATGTTTTGCCAAAAGGTTATTGCCCCATGCTCCCAAATCAGGTACTCGCAACAAAGCAAATGGCCAGCTGAAGAAAAACCAGGTATGCCGGCCCACCTTCTTCGGGACCCAATTCAATCTAGGCCAAGGGCGGTTTGGAACCAAACTTGGCCCGCATCTGAATTGCATGAAGAATATCTCCAAAGATCTTTCAACATCTCTCAACATCTTTCATCTCTGGAAACCCCTCTAAGACTCTACGTAGCTTTGGAGACCCCAACGGGGTGGCTTCCCTCTCCTAGAAATGGGGCACCCCGGTCCTCCGAGGCCTCCGCGAGGCCCAGACACAGCACCGCCCAAGCCAAGTGCTGCGGCGGCGGCCAGCAGACCTCGACTCGGTATCGAGTACCTAGAGTCATTCAACTTGTCAACTTGGATGTGGACGTACCTACTTCCCGGCAAAGGGATGCCTTTTAGGACCCTGCCCCTGTTTCTTATACAAGGATCGATCATGGCCTCCTGTTGGCAGGTGCTTGGATAACTTCCTTTTGGCTTAGATATAAGGGACATACCATTTCTGTCAGGTAATGCTCTGCCTCTGTTCCCTGTACTGGGCGTGGGACAATTTGTCTTCGCCGGGGTTTTGGTGGACCAAACTTAGTGAGATCGCTTTTCTCAGAATCTTAAATTCACCAGTGCTGGATATGTTAAGCGAATCTCACATTTCTCAGCGAAGACGCGCGCTCCCTTGTTGCCAACCTTTCAAGGGCGCAGAACATATCTCCCAACACATTCCACAATGTGGTTTCAGAATGATGTTGGCGCTTCAACAAAAACAACAGCTCGCAATGGCCAAGTGGCCGCAGGGAACACCAATGGGACTTGGTGGATCTCAACGGAGTGGAAGCCAAAAGCCAATTTTGCCGTTGAACCTGGGTTCAAATGGGCAGTTCAAATCACTGGTTGCCCCAAAAGGCCGTCATCTTGGGGGGGGGACAGAACATGCTGGTTCTCCTTTTCCCCCGGCTAAAAGCTTTGGGGTCCTTGCCGAGATCGGCTCTCGGGTGGGTGGCTCTGGATGCGTGGGTTCCAACTTCCGGGGCTGCGCGGCGCCGGCTCGTGCGTGCGAAGGAGCCGCACAGCTGTTGGGCATATTTTCCGTTGGCCAGAATGGCCCAAAAGCGCGCCCTCGTCAGCCAGAACGACATGGGACAAGTTGTGAGCCTCCCGCAGTTGGACATTTAGTGCATTATATATATATATATATATTAGTAAATATCCCATGCCCATCCCAAATGAACGAAACAAACTGAACATTTTGAGCGGCGGGCCACTTTCCGCCGCACGCGGTCAACCAAAGGCAACTCACATCCCAACGTGGAGGCTCACCCAGGCCTCTATTAAGAACTTTGTGGAGATTTAGACAAAGCAAGCTTATGGGTGTTTCTCGAAATGGTGCCCCAAAATGTGCTTGCTTTTTGAGCCTTTTGGTCTCCCGATTTTAAAAAACAGCCAAACTTACTCGGCCCCTGACTCCAGGCGCTGAAACGGCCAAGGCCATCATCAGAGAGCTCCGCCGGCTGATCATCACTGGCAAAAACCGGACATTGGCCAGCACCACAGCCCAACAGCACAACAACAGCCCAGCAGCCCAACAGCCCAACAGCCCATTAGCCCAACAGCCTTACCAACCCAACAGCCCACCACAGCCCCACAGCCCAGACAAAACCAACAGGCCAACTTTGTCCCTTGGCCAAAATTGCAAGTACTCAGCAAAAAGCTGTGCTTGAGGGGTGCTGGAGGTCCATCAAACGGAGCTAAAGATCTGCGGCACCCAAAAAAGGTCCGAAAAGGAACCGATCATGTTTTTAGACAACGCCCCCACGTCCAAACCCCGAGGTTCCGAGTTGTTGCCAAGATGAAACTAAACCCAGAGCCCAGGGGCCGCTTGGTTTGAGGCCCTGTACTGAATCAATGAATGGACTTGTTGAGTTAAGAGACACTCCCCATGCAGATTAACACGGACGCCGTGTGAGTGTCGTGAGTGTCGTGAGTTCAGAGACACTCCTCACATGGACACTCCTCATTACTCAAACCATTGAGGAAATGGACGCCGTGTAAAATCGATTGAGTAACAATCCCAGCGTAAGATCTCAGACTTGGCTAGACTTTCGCGGAGTGATGCCTATACATCTCCAGTGCACGTCCCGAAAGCGGGGTGCGTGGGGATCTGGGGTGGACCTCTTGGACATGTGACTTGATTGAACGCTTCCATCCACATGACACAGCCCAGGATCTGGCCTCTCAAGTAAGCCTATGCCCAGGCCTTCTCGCTTAGCAGAAGGTCTTCCTCTTGTAAATCAACGACTTTCTTAACCCGGGCAAATCCTTGCAGCGAAAGGTGCCACTGGGCAACTGCATGGGCACAAACACAGAGACACCTCAAGCTTGAATCGCCCCCATTCTTCCCAGCGTGCGGGCAATGCCAAGCTGTCATCCTATCTCCCGTCGGCAAAGAAGCCTTGTCGATGCTCTGCAAAGATCAACAGGATGTCCTAAGGCACAACCCCGCAAATCCCCGAGAGTCCGCCGACACCACGCGTGACAACTCGGGAGACTGGTCCAGGCCTGCACATGTCCAGGCCTGCACATGTCCAGGCCTGCCCTGGGTTTGATGCAACAGGCACTCTGGCTTCTTGTTCTTGCAAAAAAAATAAAACCCCAAACATGAGGTGGGCAAATTGAGGAACCCCAAACATGAGGTGGGCAAATTGATAGCCCCCCAAACATGAGGTGGGTGTGCTTTTTTATTCCTGCCTTGAAAAACTTCGGCATATCTTTGCCTTAACTTCTGCCAGGTGTCTGCGATCGCGGCCAAATGGCAGGAGAGCAGCCCTGAGCGGTCGCAAAGGTGTCTGGTTGTGCGAAAACGTGGAGACATCGTTCGATCCTGTGAGGAGACTCGGCGAGCATCAAGTAGCAAAGGGTTGCCACAGACACTAACATACAATGCAACGAACAACATCCGCAAAACGCACAGACCCTTTTCGGCCTACCCCGGCCTCGTTTTCGGAAGTGCCTCGAAAGGGACAGCGGCCCTTTCAGAAACCTGAATTCTGCAGCAATTGATCTCTGAGCACTGCAGGAACTTGGATCCTTCAGAAACGAAACAGCAACATGGCACAAGCCAAGCGGTTGCACTGAGGGAACCTCCATTTGATATAGGCAGAAACACAAATAAACGCACACCAAACACAACCGCCACACGACACACACACACACACACACACACACACGCCAAACACTACCGCCACACGACACACACACACACACACACACGCACAAACGCACAAACGCACACACACACACACAAACACACAAACACACAAACACACACACACAAACACACACACACACACACCAAACACTACCGCCACACGACACACACACACACACCACACCACACCACACCACACCACACCACACCACACCACACCACACCACACCACACCACACCACACCACAACACAACACAACACGACACAACACAACACAACACAACACACAACACACAACACACAACACACAACACGACACACACACACACACGCACAAACACACACACGCCAAACACTACCGCCACACGACACACACACACACACGCACAAACGCACAATCGCACACACACACACACAAACACACAAACACACAAACACACACACACGCCAAACACAACCGCCACACGACACACACACACACACACAACACAACACAACACAACACAACACAACACAACACAACACAACACAACACAACAGAACACAACACACAACACACAACACACAACACAAAACACACAACACAACAGAACACAACAGAACACAACACACAACACACAACACACAACACACAACACACAACACACACACAGCACACACAGCACACACAACACACACACACAACACACACACACACACAACACACACAACACACACACAACACACACACACACAACACACACACACAACACACACACACACCCACACGCACACGCACACGCACACGCACCCGCACCCGCACCCGCACGCGCACGCGCACGCGAACGCGAACACGCACGCACACGCGCACGCGCACGCGCACGCACACGCACACGCACATGCACACGCACTCGCACACGCGCACGCACGCACGCACGCACGCACGCACACACCCACGCACCCACGCACCCACACACCCACGCACCCACGCACCCACGCACACACGCACACACGCACACACGCACCCACGCACACACGCACACACGCACACAGACACACAGACACACAGACACACAAACACACAGACACACAGACACACAGACACACAGACACACACACACACACCACACACACACACACACACGCACACGCACACGCACACGCACGCGCGCACAAACGCACAAACGCACAAACGCACAAATGCACACACGAAAAACAAAAACAACAATACGTGGTCAGCGCACTTCCATACAAAACACGCACAAACACACCAAAACCAAGGGGACAGCGCACTTTTCGGGCAGGTCGCCTGCGGCAAAGAAGACCAAGGCCACAAGGACGGCCAAGTGGCCCTCGGTCAAAGGATCCGGTGCCAGGTTTGCACTTTGGCCACTGAAGGATCTATGGCAGAAAACATAACCCTCCCTCCAATCATGTGGCTGTGGGTCAAAACCAATGGTACCATTTTGGGGTAGGTGCACCTCCCATGTAGTGGATTTTAGTGGGGATTGGGATGTTTACTGGGCCTTCGGGGTTCGAACCCCCCCGGTCAAAACAACATGTTGGAGGGAGGCTAGATGGAGAACAACCATTGGCTTGTGGGGTACATTGTAGGAGTTCTCTGTTCCTTACACGTTCAAATTGCTCAATACTGTGGATGGACGAAATCCTGCACCACCTAAGAAACCCTGCAATGATTCCCCTGTAAATACCAAGTGGTGCGAAATGGATTTCGTCCATCCACAGTATTTCTACTCCTAAGCGAAAGGTGGCCATGTCAACTGCAGCCTGCGAAGCCCAAAAGGAGTCCCCTCCAGAGATGATAGTGGTCCCTTGTTCATCTGAAGGGGATTATAGGAAATGGACCAAGTATTTCACCTTTAAGCATCACCCCGCCCCAAGAAACTCGCAATTGGCCGAAAAGATCGTAAGATGATACGAGAGCTCTTATGCAAGCTGTAGCATGATGATCGTTGACTCAGTGAAACTGGACCCCCTCTATTCCGAGTTTGTGAAATAACAATCGCAGACACCACCAAACAGGCAGCTGGCGATGCTACAGGAAAGACCTAAAAAACACCAACAAAGGAACATCACTAGGTCCTCCAGTAGAGCGATTAGAATAAGTGTACCCTTTTTTCTGTAGTCTATTTTAGTAGGGGAACCCTCCCAACCACAAAAAAAAGTTAAAAGGGCACCTAGCTCGGGGACCTAGATCTCCTCCTGCTGTTGCTTCTTCTGCTGCTCTTTGCCCTCGTCTCCCGCGTGTCAATCCATTCACGGCTCCCCTCTCCCGGACCCCTCTCCTCCACGCCGAGCACGCGTCGCCCGATCTCGGGATAAGACGCCCGACCTCGGCGGTCGAAATCCAACAGGAGTCCTTGGGGGGACAAGACTGTGGATGGAAAAGCGAAATCCATGTCGCACCACTTGGAAACCATGGGAAACCATTGTTTGTTGGTATTTACAGGGGAATCATTGCAGGGTTTCTTAGGTGGTGCAGGATTTCGTCCATCCACAGTATCATTTAGTCCCCAAGAACATGTGGGCAACTTGGGTTTTTCCACTATTTGTGGGAATGTTGGGCTGTCCCCCCAGTGTCATCGCTTAGCCTAACCAACTTGTCCTCACAACTTCATGAAGAGGGAGATTGCCTCTCCCATCTCAAAGCGAAGCTCTCCGGTCACCTTGAAGGCAGAGTCGAAGAGGCCACCTCTTGCCGTCTTCACCAGACGGAGGTCACCGTCACTGGGTACAGGTACAAGAAATCAAGCATCCTTGACAGGTACCCAAATATCCTCTACCATCCTGTCAACAGATCACATCTATCCTTCGGGTTGCCCGAGAACGGAACGAGTCGGGGCTTATCCGCACAGACCACGTGGACAACTCCAGGCATGGCGTCAGGATTTGAGCACTGCTCCGACAAAGGCCAAGATAGGCTCGAACTGATGCTAACGAATGCATCTGCACTCAATGAGCTTTAGCATGAGCTCAAGGGTACTAAAATGCTGGAAGTTCTGCAGAAAACGCGGCTGCTAGGCAGGTGGTGACAAACAAGTGTGACTTGTCATGGAAACTTCAAAAGCAGCTCGAGAGAGCTTGCTGCTCAGGAATTCTACCCAACTGGGGATATGCAAAAACAAATATAACTTGATGGTGTCGTATTTGTACCTAAGTTTGATTGGAAGGCGTCCGAGTTTGCGGAGAATGCTTCGCGTTGGGGGCCGAGATGATTTATCTAGGGTCAGCAAATTATGTGCAGAGGGTGCTCAGCAACCCAAGTGACAAGACTGGAATCACACCACCTGCAGGGAAATGGTGCCTTGGGTATACTGTGGACCCCAGCCTCTCTTTTGGACCCAACCAAAAGGCAAAGAGTAGCTCTCTTTCGTCCCAGGGCAAGACGTAGCTTCTCTTTCGGGCCACAAAGCAAAAATCAAAGAGGTCGCGATGGATCGTCTCTTTTGAGGGTACGGTACCCTTCTGCAGGGTTGTGTTGAAGGGAAGCCAAGAGCTGAGGAAACCACCCTGAGACTTGAGACCCTTTCCTGTTCAAGTGTTCTGAGACAAAATCTCATCAGGTTGCTTTCTTTCTCTGCATGCCTCCCCCCTTTTGGCGACCAAACTTTTGGCATCGGAAGTGGATCTGGGTGATCTGGTGATCCACCCTCGATTCCCTCTCTACGTCTCCGGTTCCGGGGGGCTCGCTGATCGACTTGGACCCATGTTCTACCCTCGAAACTTTGACGGAGCACCGACTCTGCTGCTTGGAAAATAGGAAATGACTCTTCATTGCAGGGGGGTTCAGGATCTGGGTTTGGTGCTCCAGCGACTCGTTTCACACTTCAGCTCGAGACGAGCTGTGTGGGTTCAGTTCTGTCCAAGGTGCCATGCTTTTGCCGGAAACCCGGAGCTCAAAAACTTTGGGGCGCTCCAATCTCATATTGCACCGTCCGATGAGCCATCTGAGCTCCCGGGCCCACCAGCTGACCGTCGAAAGCACTGAGCTCCAGGAGCATCTGTGTCGAAACGATGGAGGGCCACATGGCTCGTCATTTGCCTTGAGCTAACTTATCGGGATGCAACAAACACACAACCTGGGTTGTGGGCAAACTCACACAAGAGCGTGTGTCGGTCAAATGTAGAACCACTTGTTTACCGCCTTTAGTGGTCTTCCCAGAAGACCACAAGTACATCCAGGAACTCAGGGAGTGAGCAATTGCACCAGGGTCCCAAGTCTTGGCTAAGACCAAATGCAACAATTCTCAGATTCGAACTGTGGTGAATGCACCAATCGAAAAGGGAAAGTTGCGAGGCGCCAACTGAGTTCCGGCTTCCGGGATTCTTTGGATAGATTGCCCTCTCCCGGGCGTCCCAGTGGCTCACTGGCTGAGTGGATGGCCCAAAAAAAGTTCAAACTTTATATTTCCCACTAAAATGGTCTTCCCAAAAAGTTTAAAGTTCATGAACTCAGGAAGTGAGGTGGATCCCGGGCAAGCCCCTTACTCGCGTCGTTGACTTTGTTCAAAGGGTGGGTCCCTTGGTTGCCTGCGGAGATCAAACCTGAGAGCAACCTTCTGTGACTCGAGCTGACTCGAGTCCACAGCCTCCCCCTGCCCTGTGCCGCAGTCGGGATTCAGGGAACTTGAGTTCGAAGTTCGAAGGACTACGCGAGACAGCTCTTGCATCGGTCATAGGAATCAGCCGTTCCGCTTCGCCCAAACACACTGGAGTCACAATCAAAACCTGGTCTTGCAATGGTCTACCCAAACAAATGTAAGAGACTACAAAGCCGGATCTTCGCACCTACTTCTGGCTGGCCCTTTTGCTAACCTTCACCTACACCTTTATTTTTTTTTAACGGCTCACTTCATGGATCTGAGCTTCGCCTCTCTCACGAGAAAACCGTCGACAGACCCCACCTGCCAGGTCCTGTGGGAGGTCTTTGCCTGAGCGAAGCGGTAACGCGTCAGAAGCAAAAGGGAAACACTCTCAGGACCGGAAAGGAAGAAGAAACCCAATGAAGCGAGCCCCAACACCAAGGGGATCATGGCAATCTTGACTTTCCAGGTCTTGAGTCCTGGCTTGTTTTCAAAGCATGCTGGCAACTGGTGGCAATGTCAAGACCAACGATGGACCCTTGCGAATGCTTGCGATCCCATGGAAATTGCGGGGAAACCAGCGAACAAAAAGCCAAAGGCGATCAACAAAGAGTGAAACCATTGCCCACATTGAGCAACCAACACACAGCAGCTACACCCACTTCGGCATTTTGAATGCGCGCATCAGGTCCAAGTCCCGCACCACCACGGCCAGGACCTCGGGCGAGTACGTGAAGCAGGGGTCTCAAAGTCAGAAAGTTGCAAACGCGATCAACACACCTCCAATCCACATGGAACTCACAGCTGTGGTCCCTTAGATGGTCCGAACTGGGTGGATGGGATTGGCATTCCAGTGGTCCAGGTCTTTGGGCTTCGAGTTTCATGGCCCCACCATATCGATGGACTGAAAGCACCAGCGGGGTTCAATGGCCTGGGTTGCTCTAAATATCGAACACATGCTTACACAATTCCAACGATCGGACCCGGGATTGACAGAAGCCGCGAGGTTTCACAGGCCTTTCCAATTTGTGTGTTCCTTCAAACATCGCAGGAAGACTCACTCAAGGGTGATCTTTGGAGCGGCACACAAATCTCATGGTGCTTTTGTTAAGACCCTAAAGTCAAGTCATGGACCCCCAACGGGGCGCCTTTAACAAGCCCTGAGAAGCTCATAAGGGTCGGGCTTAGGGTTCATATGATAAGCTATGGAGCTCCACTTCGCTGAGTTTCCGCGCGACTGCTCCCAGCAAACCTGCTTCAGCAAAGGCCCAGGGCAATGCCTCGGCTCCGTCGCCAAATTTCCCCGACGCTGTTTCTGAACATTGGAAAAGGAAAGCCCAACGCATATCATTTTCTCAAGTTTAAACCAAAAAACAAATATGTCTATTTCCTTAAGTCCACTACGCTCCCGGGGGACTGACCAAGGAGATGTTTCACTACTTATTTCCACGGTTCTAATCTACCGAGCGACCATGTAGATGCTAGACAAAGAACATTAATATCGTTCATGAAGGTTCCCTGTGCTCACTCTCAGACTTCCTTTGTCGGCCAAGGTGCCAATGTGGCAACACCCAGCAAGTTGGCCGTCACATTCACCTTTGCCTCTCGCCACAACGCATCGGCATGGCGCCATGAATGCTGACCCATGCCTGCCATCAATGCCTTGTCCTGTTCATGGGGACAGAAACATAAGGGGCCCTCGCTCCCCAAAAAGGTTCCGAGAATCCGGAGAATAATAGATGGGGCTCTTGGAAGGATTACTGTATGGGAATATGGGAACCTTTCTGCGGGGTGGGGGGAGGTTGCCTCTCCTGAATTCAAACATTGCCGGGACTTGTGGCAAAGACACTTGGACACAAATACGACCTTCAGTCGGAGTGAACAGGACGTCCTCCGCAGTGAGACGACCTTGACTGCAGTGATGCAATGATAACCTGCAAACAAACACACACAGACACACAGACACAAAGACACACAAGCACACAAACACACACACACACACAGAGACACAAAGACACACAGACACACAAACACAGACACACAGACACACAGACACGCAGAGACACGCAGAGACACACAGAGACAAACAGAGACACACAGAGACACACAGAGACACACAGAGACACACAGAGACACACAGAGACACACAGAGACACACAGAGACACACAGAGACACAGACAGACACACAGACACAAACGTACACACACACACAGAGACGTGCACACACACAAACACACGCGCAGCATGCACACCACACAACTTGCGACAGGCATGCAAACATCATCAACAAGGCCACCAAACAGCCTGTTGAGGATTGAAAGTTATAGTCAAATGTCGAAAAGTGCCTTGAAACCCTCCTAAAAACTGAAGGCCGTTGAAACAGTGGTTGCCCACCCAACCTTCCAAGAATGGAT